TCAGATAATGGTCCAGAATTCAGTAATAGTATTTTAACTAGCTTGTGTGATTTATATAACATTAAAAATGTAGTATCATGCCTTACCATCCAGAAAGCAACGGATTAGCTGAACGTACTAACAGGAAAGTGTCAGATGCCTTGAGAGTCACGTTGAATTTTGATAACAATTGGGATGATTTTATACCCTTAATTCAGTGTGCTATAAATTCTTCAATTTATGTTTCTACAGGTGACACACCTCACGCTATTCTTTATGGTACAGGTAAGATCCTCCCTAATGAATTGATTAACGTACCTCCTACTCCCTTATATAACGTAGATGATTTTGTTCAAGTGAAGCGTAGACAGATGCAACTAGTATTCAAAATACGAGAACAACTGTCCAAAGCAACAGCCGAGTTCACTCTAGCAAGGAATGCACGAGCTAAACCCAGTAAAATAACTATTGGATCTGTAGTAATGGTACTTAACCAACACAGGTCTGGCCCTATGTACAAGTTAACTAAGAAATTTTTGGGTCCATATAAGGTAACCGAGCTTATCAAAGGTAATAAGTACAGACTTAAGAACTTGTTAACAGGAGAGTATATAAATGAACATTTAGACCACACATGAAGTTAGCTAAAATGACTGTTGACGAGACTGATGAGGAAGATGACAATGAACTTACCCAGACAGATACTCCTACTCGGACACCACCTTCTGTGGTTGACAGACCACTTGATGTTCAGCAACCCCATACTAGTACTTATAATCTTAGATCTAGACCTCTCGTTTCAACCGTGCACTCACCACATGTCCATTGGCTAGATGTTAACGAGGTTATCTCTGAAGATGATAGTTTGTCACATGCAGTTTCATCTGTTCCTGACCTTCAGTCAGAGCCAGAGTTGTATAGTGCTCTGGATGAGCTAGGTGTAGATATCCGCAGAATTTATACTTGAGTGCACTCTGCAGTTATTCTGTTTTGTTTTGCAAAATTCATTTGCAGTATTTCCACCACATGTGTCTTAGTATTACCATTATATATATATAGTATAATGACGTTTTTCTCAACTTTATTTTGTGTTATAAATTAGATGCCATTGTTAAGTCTATTGCCATTTGTATTTTTACAGTGCTTGTCATAGGAGTTCAATAATGTTCTAGCAACCACATTGAGGCCAGTGAATCCTGACTGCTATCACTCAGATGTTAGTCTTCTTGATCCAGGTCTTGTATGTAGTTTGTAAATATATTGTATATATATTGTACAATAACAAAAAAAAAAATCCTCATTATCTAATCTTAAAATTCATTTGTGGTTGTTAGGTCAGAACTTTGTTCCATTAATGTAATAATTGTTTAATTTTGTATTGTTTCAAGCACATGCCATTAACACATGTTAATAATTTTGTTTAGGCAATACCTTGAGTTGTATTGTTCATATCTGATAAGTAGACATACACATGTTCTTAATACTCTGGTTTAATTAAAGCATTGTTACCATGATTTTCACCTATTATGATTAATTTTATTTTGGTGCATATGCCGAGGTGTTAGTATTATGCACACCTGATCTTCTTTTAATGTTTATAATGCAAATTTCACATGTAAGCCATTATTGAATGTCACCGAGGTCCTTTCAGTATCATTGTAACTATATAGCTAGCCAGAGCTTGTCGACAAGGGACGTCGACTTGGTAGCGTGTCCGAGCAATGTTATACTCAAATTGTATGTCGGTTGAGACATAACCAATCACAGGTGAGTAGGCCTCTGACGTCATGCCAGACAGAGGAGCACCAGCCGTGCTTGCAGCAGGCTCAGTATTCTCACAGACTCAGAGTAGGTGGACCTCGGCTGGCCAGTTATACACCTTGTTGTCTTAATCAATAAAACTACAGAAGTGCCTACTGTGTATAACATTCAACCCAACAAGGCAACGAATATATTGCCTGTCCCATTGACAGTGCCATTGTGATTTATTGCGCATCATCATTACTTGAGTATCCGGTTGGAACTCTTGTGATCCCTTTGCACACCGGCAGTTAGGTTTGCCGTGTTAATGATTGGCTGTCAACTGTGTTAAGTTAGGTGTTTCGCCACGAGTGGATCAGAATCGATTAGCCAGACGTCAAGAGTCTCGCTAATGCAACCATAGCCTTTCTGATGCCAATCTACAGTAAATCAAGCACCCTTTGTATTAGTGGTTAAGTTAGTAAATAAACTACTGTTAAGCTTTATGCGGTGTTTCCGTTCAACCACTTCTGAATACTGCCAACTATTTACTCAAGCCTTCAGCTCCAGGTGTCTTCAACACCGATTTGCCTATTATTCATTAAACTATATATGTGATGAGGACCCTAGGAGTCCCTTAAAGTGTTAAAGCATTGAGGAGATTCCAACGATCAATGTGGACCAGGACCATGTGAGGTTAGTCTGGGAAGAGACCCTCAAGGACTCTAACTCGACCTTGCTCCCAGGCCCTGTACGGTTGCTCTCGTATTTTCTCTGCTGATTCCGACAGCTTCGTGAATCGTCTGCCACATGTACATTGACGATGTACGCATTGCAGTCGAGAAAGCAAAATAGAAAGCCCCACAATGAAAAATACTTGAGGGCCAGGTCCCAAATCTACACAGTAAAATAACAACGTACTGGAGTGAACGATATGGAAGAAAATGCAGGATAGAACCAGTGAAGAGCAGAGGTGCCATAGGCTCAATCAGAGAACACTGTATGAACATCAGAGGTCCATGGTTGTTCAACACCCTCCCAGCGAGCATATGAAATATTGCCGGAACAACAGTGGACATCTTCAAGAGGAACCTAGATTGTTTCCTCCAAGGATCCAAGGAGTGCTGGACCAACCGGGCTGTGGTGGGTATGTGGGCCTGTGGTCCGCTCCAAGCAACAGCCTAGTGGCCGAAACTCTCACAAGTCAAGCCTGGCCTCGGGCCGGGCATGGGGAGAAGAAGAACTCCCAGAACCCCATCAACCAAGGGATCCCACTTCTATTACGTTTTGCAGTAATTGGTTCCACAAATCAAAAACCCTGTTACCGAACCAGTATTTACCCAGTTCTTTCCTAAATTTAAACATATCCAATTTATACCTATTGTTTTGTGTGCTGTCTTGTGTTGATACTTTTAATACCCTATTAATATCCCCTTTGTTATACCCATTTATACATGTCACCCTCATGTACACCTCTAATTTATGCTTTGTCAATCTTTCTTCATATGACAGGTTTCTAATTTGCCGGATCAACTTTGTCATCCTATGCTGGACGTGTTCTAGGGAATTTATATCCATTCTATAGTACAGCGACAAAAACTGAGCTGCACAATCTAAATGGGGCCTAACCAGAGCAAGATATAGCTGAATAACACCAGGTGTATTATTACTAATGCTTCGATTAATAAATCCCAGTGTCCTATTTGCCTTATTACGAACATTTATGCGTTTATTTTTTTTTGTTTTAAATACTTACTAATCATAACTCCCAGATCCCTTTCACAATCTAACTGCACTTTTCACACCATCTAGCTCGTATCTTGTAATTATATCATCATTACCTAGCCTCAAAACCTTGCATTTGTCAGCATTAAACTGCATCTACCAATCTTTTAACAATTTCAAAACCCTATTTAGATCGTCTTGAAGTGATAGTGAATCTTTTTCTGTGTTTATTTTCCTCACGATTTTTGTATCATCAGCAAATTTGCAAATATTGCTGCTCGAACCTGAATCTAAATCATTTATATATATTATGAATAACAGAAGTACAGGACAGAGCATTCAGGAACTCCACTTACAATATTTTCCCACTCTGAATTAACCTTAATTATACTAATTCTGTTTCCTTTGGTATAGCCATGCCCTAATCTAACTTAATATAGCACCCCCAATACCATGAGTCTCTATCTTATAATAAATCTTTCATGTGGCACTGTATCAAAAGCTTTGCTAAATTCATGGTACACATCACAAACCCTACCACTCTCAACTGTCTCAACTATGCTGGAATAAAATGATAGCTAATTTGTTAAACATGAACGGCCATTTGTAAAAACTGTGTTGTGATTCATTTATTAGTTTATGTTTTTCATGATGAAGACGAATTGTACATGCAATTATCAATTCAAGTAACTTTCTCACAATAGACTAAGCAAATTGGCCGATAGTTTGATGCAAGTGATCTATCTCCTTTAATAAAAATTGGAACCACAATAGCAACCTTCCACGTCTCTGGCACTCTGCCTGACTCTAATAATTTAATAAATATGGTAGATAATGGCTCGCAAAGCTCCACTTTGCATTCTTTAAGCACCCTGGCAAACAATTCATCTGGCCCTGAGGATTTGTTTTGCTTGAGTTTCACTATTTGTTTAATAACATCCTCCCTGGTAACTGCTAGACTAGTCAACCTGTTCTATTCTCCACCCACATAGAAGGGTGGGGGTCATCATTTCGCTGAAGGCATAATGTTAAGTTCCTCTTTAGTAAATTCAGAGATAAAATATTTGTTAAAAATACTACTCATCTCTTCGTCATTATATGTTATCCGACCTGTCTCAGTTTTTAATGGACTCAGTTTTTTCTTCAGATCCTCTAATATCCATTATGTGTCATTATTATTTGATCTATTCAATTTGTTTGGTATACTATGTTCTGTACTTAGCTTAGAATACTTTTAATTAACTTATATTTTGAATCCACATCAAAATCCCTTTTTACATCGCCCATGGCTGGGTTCACGACTTGCTGGAAGACCGGCCCACACCCCATGCCCAGGACTTTCCAATCTATAACATCCAAAAATATTCTTAGGCCATTAAAATTATACATGTCATTTCTTCTATAGAAGTGTTCAATGTTAAGTTAAGTATTAAGTACTAATACTAATTAGGTGACAGTATTAAGTGAATGAATAATACTGTGTTGGTGCTGATATAATACACACACAATTCTTACTCTCAAGATTTAGAATTAGTTCATTCCCATTAATAAGTTATTTATTCAGGACAATGGAAAGGCTTCAATGACATCATAGTATTGGCTGGTGACATGTTAGTGTTGGCTGGTGACATGTTAGTGTTGGCTGGTGACATGTTAGTGTTGGCTGGAGACATGTTAGTGTTGTCTGGTGACATGTTAGTGTTGGATGGTGACATGTTAGTGTTGGCTGGTGACATGTTAGTATTGGCTGGTGACATGTTAGTGTTGGATGGTGACATGTTAGTGTTGGCTGGTGACATGTTAGTGTTGGCTGGTGACATGTTAGTGTTGGCTGGTGACATGTTAGTATTGGCTGGTGACATGTTAGTGTTGGATGGTGACATGTTAGTGTTGGCTGGTGACATGTAAGTGTTGGCTGGTGACATGTTAGTGTTGGCTGGTGACATGTTAGTATTGGCTGGTGACATGTTAGTGTTGGATGGTGACATGTTAGTGTTGGCTGGTGACATGTTAGTGTTGGCTGGTGACATGTTAGTGTTGGCTGGTGACATGTTAGTGTTGGCTGGTGACATGTTAGTATTGGCTGGTGACATGTTAGTGTTGGATGGTGACATGTTAGTGTTGGCTGGTGACATGTTAGTGTTGGCTGGTGACATGTTAGTATTGGCTGGTGACATGTTAGTGTTGGATGGTGACATGTTAGTGTTGGCTGGTGACATGTTAGTGTTGGCTGGTGACATGTTAGTGTTGGCTGGTGACATGTTAGTGTTGGCTGGTGACATGTTAGTATTGGCTGGTGACATGTTAGTGTTGGATGGTGACATGTTAGTGTTGGCTGGTGACATGTTAGTGTTGGCTGGTGACATGTTAGTGTTGGCTGGTGACATGTTAGTGTCACCTGGAGACATGTTAGTGTTGGATGGTGACATGTTAGTGTTGGCTGGAGACATGTTAGTGTTGTCTGGTGACATGTTAGTGTTGGATGGTGACATGTTAGTGTTGGCTGGTGACATGTTAGTTTTGGCTGGTGACATGTTAGTGTTGGATGGTGACATGTTAGTGTTGGCTGGTGACATGTTAGTGTTGGCTGGTGACATGTTAGTGTTGGCTGGTGACATGTTAGTATTGGCTGGTGACATGTTAGTGTTGGATGGTGACATGTTAGTGTTGGCTGGTGACATGTTAGTGTTGGCTGGTGACATGTTAGTGTTGGCTGGTGACATGTTAGTATTGGCTGGTGACATGTTAGTTTTGGATGGTGACATGTTAGTGTTGGCTGGTGACATGTTAGTGTTGGCTGGTGACATGTTAGTGTTGGCTGGTGACATGTTAGTATTGGCTGGTGACATGTTAGTATTGGCTGGTGACATGTTAGTGTTGGATGGTGACATGTTAGTGTTGGCTGGTGACATGTTAGTGTTGGCTGGTGACATGTTAGTGTTGGCTGGTGACATGTTAGTATTGGCTGGTGACATGTTAGTGTTGGATGGTGACATGTTAGTGTTGGCTGGTGACATGTTAGTGTTGGCTGGTGACATGTTAGTGTTGGCTGGTGACATGTTAGTATTGGCTGGTGACATGTTAGTGTTGGATGGTGACATGTTAGTGTTGGCTGGTGACATGTTAGTGTTGGCTGGTGACATGTTAGTGTTGGCTGGTGACATGTTAGTGTCACCTGGAGACATGTTAGTGTTGTCTGGTGACATGTTAGTGTTGGCTGGTGACTTGTTAGTGTTGGCTGGTGACATGTTAGTGTTGGCTGGTGACTTGTTAGTGTTGGCTGGTGACATGTTAGTGTTGGCTGGTGACATGTTAGTGTTGGCTGTGACATGTTAGTGTTGGCTGGTGACATGTTAGTGTTGGCTGGTGACATGTTAGTGTCACCTGGAGACATGTTAGTGTTGGCTGGTGACATGTTAGTGTTACCTGGAGACATGTTAGTGTTGGATGGTGACATCTTAGTCATTTTAGTGTTGGCTGGTGACAGCCCTGACCTGTCTGTGCAATTCTGTTCACTGAATTTAACATTTGTGTATAAAGAGTAAAATATATAAAAATGAACCACATGTTGCTTCTATAAACAATTATTTTGTTACAAATGTATTATTTTGTACAAATCGGAAGTTATATTTCTGAGTGTTATATTTTAGAGACGATCTGATAGTTCAGCACCATCATATCAGGGGCATACTCCATGGTATGTTGGGGGCACGGTCTCACCAGAACGGGCATTGTCCTGACACACCGGCCCTTAACCTAACGAAACAGAAAACACTTACATCGTAACCGCCTCCTGCTCTCAGTTTTACAGTGTTTCCTTCTTATTAATAGCATACTGATTTGGCAGTAAAATTTAAGAGTCGTATTCCAATTAGCAATAAACCAAGTGAGAAAGGCTGGAGGGAGAGAGGCTGGTCACTGTCAGTCTTGTTATGGCAGTGACCACCACAGCACCCACTTACACTGACACTCACAGGGCAGGCTACAGTGACCACCACAGCACCCACTTACACTGACACTCACAGGGCAGGCTACAGTGACCACCACAGCACCCACTTACACTGACACTCACAGGGCAGGCTACAGTGACCACCACAGCACCCACTTACACTGACACTAACAGGGCAGGCTACAGTGACCACCACAGCACACACTTACACTGACACTCACAGGGCAGGCTACAGTGATCACCACAGCACTCACTTACACTGACACTTACAGGGCAGGCTACAGTGACCACCACAGCACTCACTTACACTGACACTCACAGGGCAGGCTACAGTGACCACCACTTACACTGACACTCACAGGGCAGGCTACAGTGACCACCACTTACACTGACACTCACAGTTGAGGCTACAGTGACCAACACTTACACTGTATTACGTTGTATTAAGTCGATGGAGTGTCCCCTCCGGACAACCCACCAAAATCTTGAAGAGTGCTTACACTTTAATCGGGAGATCACCCTGTGTGCTCCTGGCACTTGGAGAGGGGCTCAGCGTCACACGTTTAGGGGATACGACTCCAACACTGGCCTCGTTGTCACGTGCACACACCCACTTGAAAAGCCGTGACTTCCCACTCTCTCCTTGGTTGATATGATCTACTCAATCCCCATTTCTGGATTGTTATTCAGTATTACCCTGTCCACAGCTATGGTTCTTTATCTCTTTCTCTCTCTTCTGCTTTCTGGGAAGCCTCACCAGGACACGAGCAAGGCGGCGGGCTGATATATATATATATATATATATATATATATATATATATATATATATATATATATATATATATATATATATATATATATATATATATATATATATATATGTATATATATATATATATGTATATATATATGTCGTACCTAGTAGCCAGAATGCACTTCTCTGCCTACTATGCAAGGCCCGATTTGCCTAATAAGCCAAGTTTTCATGAATTAATTGTTTTTCGACTACCTAACCTAACATAACATAACTTTTTCCGCTACCTAACCAAACCTAACCTAGAAAGATAGGTTAGGTTAGGTAGGGTTGGTTAGGTTCGGTCATATATCTACGTTAATTTTAACTCCAATAAAACATTTTTTACCTCATACATAATGAAATGGGTAGCTTTATCATTTCATAAGAAAAAATTTAGAGAAAATATATTAATTCAGGAAAACTTGGCTTATTAGGCAAATCGGGCCTTGCATAGTAGGCCGAGTACGACGTTCTGGCTACTAGGTACAACATATATATATATATATATATATATATATATATATATATATATATATATATATATATATATATATATGTATAGTCCTGGGGACCATTCAGGCTTGTTCGCATATATATATATATATATATATATATACAAGCCTGAATGGTCCCCAGGACTATATGCGAATGAAAACTCACACCCCAGAAGTGACTCGAACCCATACTCCCAGAAGCAACGCAACTGGTAACTACAGGGCGCCTTAATCCGCTGGGGACCTGGGGGTCCCTAAGGTCCCTAAGGTCCCTAAGGTCCCCAGGACCTTAGTCCTGGGGACCATTCAGGCTTGTTCGCATTTGTGTTCCTCACGTGTGCCCCAAAGAATGAGGTGATTTGGTGAAATGCTATGCCCAAGATTACCATCCGAGTTGCCGTCGGGGAAGTGGCTCAAATAGCCTCGGCTATCACTTCCTTTTGACGGCCGTGATGGTCAAGCGGATTAAGGCGCCCTGTAGTTACCAGTTGCGTTGCTTCTGGGAGTATGGGTTCGAGTCACTTCTGGGGTGTGAGTTTTCATTCGCATATAGTCCTGGGGACCATTCAGGCTTGTTCGCATTTGTGTTCCTCACGTGTGCCCCAAAGAATGAGGTGATTTGGTGAAATGCTATGCCCAAGATTACCATCCGAGTTGCCGTCGGGGAAGTGGCTCAAATAGCCTCGGCTATCACTTCCTTTTGACGGCCGTGATGGTCAAGCGGATTAAGGCGCCCTGTAGTTACCAGTTGCGTTGCTTCTGGGAGTATGGGTTCGAGTCACTTCTGGGGTGTGAGTTTTCATTCGCATATAGTCCTGGGGACCATTCAGGCTTGTTCGCATTTGTGTTCCTCACGTGTGCCCCAAAGAATGAGGTGATTTGGTGAAATGCTATGCCCAAGATTACCATCCGAGTTGCCGTCGGGGAAGTGGCTCAAATAGCCTCGGCTATCACTTCCTTTTGACGGCCGTGATGGTCAAGCGGATTAAGGCGCCCTGTAGTTACCAGTTGCGTTGCTTCTGGGAGTATGGGTTCGAGTCACTTCTGGGGTGTGAGTTTTCATTCGCATATAGTCCTGGGGACCATTCAGGCTTGTTCGCATATATATATATATATATATATATATATATATATATATATATATATATATATATATATATATATATATATATATATATATATATTGTTGGGGTTTTACCTCCGGTGAGCAACCGTAATCAGCACTTATCCTGGCAAGGTCGCCAATGTTGGGGTTTACTCTACTCTTACTCTGGGTGTGCAACAGTTACACTCAAGGTCAGTCACCGTAGCCCTGCGGGTCTTCACTCTAATCCTCTCGGCGCCACTGCACGTCAGGAGGGTATCCCAGTCAATCCCAACCGGCCTCTGATTGAGAAGGAGTGGGAACACACTTCTTGTTCACTTAACTGTTGTGTGGCCCGCCCCAACAATAGGGCTTTACTATTAACCACAAGGTCGCCAACTGGTGTTTTCGGTGTCCAGTAACACCTCAGTGGACTGGTTGAATTGTGGTAACCTTGGCAAGGTCACACTCAATAGATCAGGAGATCAGGCAGGTATGTATTTGTATCACTCTATGCTTCAAGTATAATATAGCCACAAGATAAATGGAGGGGATGATATAAACACAAAAGTATTTTGTATTTTACTTAAAATTCATGAAAGATGTCACAAGGTCATATCAATAAATAAATCAGCTGATCCTGGCTGGAGTCGCTCGTTCCCACGAATATTATGCACTCACTAAGTGGCAACACCTCCCCCTCTCGTCAATGTCACGATCAGCTGAGCGCCTGGCTCCGCGCGAAAGTTTATTGCTTGTTTTCCTGGCGTCACGCGCGCTGTTTCTTTAAGTTCTCCAATATTATTAGAAACTCGAACACTCGATATTTTCAACAACAGCACGTACTACTTAGCTACACTGTATTCGGGCTCAAACAGTCGTTTCTACAATCAATGCGACAATGACTCACTGTAATGGTTCTACACTGCCCTTCATTCAATGATATATTATGAAGTATTTAACACTGGAGTTTTCAGTACTTCCTTTCGTGGGCGATAACACAATAATTCACTGTACTCACAAATGATTAATCACTGCATGAACATCGACATATATAATGTATATAAATCAGACATCAATAAATGGCAAATAAATAGTTTCTGGGCACATAGCCTAACTTCCAAATACTGGCATAATATTATATATAATTTATCACTATATGTTCACTTCAAAGTCTCTAGAAAGATATACAAAACACAGTAAATTTATCACTTGTTCCGGGTGCCTGTACACACCAATAATAAACATGGATATTATAAGTACTCTTGACAGTACTATACTGCACACTGGTGCCTTACTGTGACATGGGTGAGACTTGCTCACGACATATAAAATCCTCAGGCTAGATAATATAGCCGAATAATATAGCTAACTAAAGGGGAATGGGGAGGGAAACTAGAAACACCTACTTCAACCTATCCTCCGATGAGAGTTGAGTTGTAGCTCCTGGTCCTCGTGTCGGGAACGCCCCCACACACACGTTGTCGTGTCCTACAGGAACCACTCGCCGCCCCACCGTTTAGCGCGTCGTCTCTGTGCCTTCTTCCCTGCAGGTCCGTGCTCCTCCTCGACTTCTTGAAGGGCTGGAGTCGGTCTCCTGGCCATCGACTTCTCCCAGCTGCGGCTGCCGCCTACGTCTCGGCTGCAGTCGTCCGGATTCCCAGCTAGTCCTCTTCTTCCTCTGCTACCCAGTGGCTCTGGTCAGCCACTACGCCGTCACAAATGGGTGAACTGCCTTAGACGTCGCCTACGTCACTGCACAGACTTCACTTCTTCTTGCACAGTACCTGTCCTGGAGCACTTGTTGCTCAATAACCGTCGATTCCCTCTCTGGTTCAACACATGAACTAGGGAAGACCTCATAGAGTACTGGCAGACTTCAGGTGACGCGTAAATCCACGGGAGCGGGAAACAACTGTCAAACTGACAGGACCAATCGTCGCACGTCCAACCTCCTTGACGTGTCGTGTCTGACTGATGGTGCCATC